ATACCTTCATTCACATAACGTACAAACAGTAGCAAAATAGCTAGATTAGCTACATCAGTTGATTCATCCAACTGTATAGCATAATATGGACTATTTTTCACTCTATGTACAATTGTGGTCTCTACATTATTTGACATGTCATTAATTCTTCGTGACAACGTATTATTGGACAAAGGTACCATGTCAATCCTTTTTGCAGCCTTTTCTCCGAGCATGCAATGAACTACATCTTTTATACATGGACCAATCAAGCTCTCTGCTATGGTATGGGCTTCTGATGCTTTTGCTACTCTGTAGCTCACGCGGTATGACGCTTTAAGTGCATTTTCATTATCAGTACTTGCTTTGGATATAAAACTGATAATGTCACTTTTCTTCTTAGCTAATTTTCGCTTGAAAAAATCAACAGGCTTGTCGAGTTGTGCAGGATGCCTAGTTTCTAAATGGTGCCGAAGTAGAGAAGGTTTGAGGCTGCTGTTTGCTAGAACATCACCACAAATCACACATAGTGGTTTTGGATGTTCTTGATCACCAAGGCATGTAAAGCCATATTTTATATAATCATCGTCATATTTTCTTTTCTTTGTAAGTGACTTTCCAGGACCATCATGATCATTAGACTTAGATTTTCCACAGTGTGGACTTGAGGAAACACCAGCTGATTCCAGCGTCTTTACACTTTCCTTTTTCAGCCACTTATCCATTGAACTTGTGTACAAAAGTTCTAATAAAAATAACAGAGAGAGACTGCTAACAACCAACAAACTAGAAACTGAGAAGATTCACTCACTGAAGGAAATCAGCACTCCAGAGAGAAGGACAATTACTGAGACACCTTAACACTCCTACACTGGCTACAACGTGCTTCTGGCTTGTTTGGCTCGCAAACAGCTTTTCTTCCGCCGAGGAAGGTGTCCTGGGAGGGACAAATTAGCTTGGACCACCCCCCACGTTCAGCGTGGCCCCCTGCTGACTGCCCTGGATGCAAACTTCCCCTGCCTGACAAGGACAGGGATCTGAGTTGCCACCTGCACCCCGCATGGAGTGCTGGGGTTCGGGGCTGCCGGCTCCCCCGCTGACAGGGGAGGGCTGGGGCTGCTGGCTCAAACTGCCCACTCTCCACGAGGCTCGGGCTGCCGGCTCCCTGGCTGACAGGAGGGCTCGGGCTGCCCGCTCAAACTGCCCGGCCCCGCTCTCCCTGGGGCTCGGGCTGTCTGCCCTGCAACTGGGTCCCAGCAGAGTCCTCTGGCCGCCATTAATGAATTTTTTCTTGCGAACCCCCTGAAACGTTCTGCGAACCCCACTTTGGGAACCACTGATCTACACCCTTCCTTTTCTGGTGGTTCTGGAATACTCCACAACCCTGCCCACGGGATAATAAACAGTAACAAGAATAACATCACCAATTTGCTGAGAGTGTGATGCTGTTCACGAGTAACTTCTCAGAGGTATTAACCTTATTTGAGTGCTGTAGGTCCTGATCCAGTGACAATGGCTGTCAACTCTACCAGGGTTCAGTGGGACTTGCGTGCTTAGCACTCTGCAGGATTGGACCTGTATATAATAATTTGACACCGTATAATGTTTTGTGTTTTGCTTGTGGGGTATATCCTGTAGACAGCAGCTTTGCATGTAAGAAATGGTTCCACTCAGAGGGACTTGGGAAATGAAACAAACTAAGGGCTGACCCCGAGAGATGCTGAGTGCCTCTTAATTTCCATTATATTCAGTGGGAAGTGTCCTGTGCTTTGCAGGATCTGGCTATAAAGGACATATACTTTTCCTAGTTAATCCATGCAACCCATTTCAGTGGGTTTGCAACAGTGTCCCCAAGAACAGACTCGGCCCCCAGCTGTGGTGTCTTGTCTTTCCATGTAATGTAGGGATGACAACTAGCTCTCTCACTTTTTAGGAAAAACCTGTCAACAAAAAATCTAAGTGGGCGACAGATTTCACTGTCATGACACATTACAACAAACTCATCCTGGGAACTGGGTAAGTGCTCTTCTTTACCAGAATCGGAACTAAAAATGAATGTGGTATTATTAGCATTAATTATCTCTGGGGGCTGGGAACTTGCAGAATAACTCTGCATAAGTGAAACAGTTGGTGATGTGAGTTCATGTTCCGAAAACACTGTCACAGCTGGTGTTCTTATGGACAGCCTCATGGTGGCTGAGCTCCCCTCTCACGCCCACAGAGGGGCCTTCCAGGTCCGTGTAGAGTGAGATTGGGAATGCAGAATAGGGAAGCATGTGCTGACCATATTGTCATTAATTAATTCATTTATTAGGTTATTAATAATTGTAACATAAAGCTGTGCATGCCCCTTTAAAGAAATAAAACTTGTTCCTTGTCCTGAAGTGCGTGAATCTAAATTATTGTACCAACCCCCACCCCCAAATCCTTAAATACCAGGTTCAGGATTTAAATCCAGCCCAAACTGGTAATGAAATGACAAAAAGTGATTCCTATCTGATGGCTGCTCAGTGGCCTGTGTGCCATGAGATTGGTGATCTCAAGCCAATGAAAGGGTGCTCCTATTTGAAAAATCACCACCACCACAGATTGCAAGCTTGTTAGAGTCCTCTGCTAAGAGGCCAAGGATGGAATGAACATGGAGACTGGTCCCTTAGAGGAGGTCTCTCGGGGTCAGGGATCAGATACATTAGTGGGGCAGTGTAGAGAAGATGGTCTTGCAGCATCCTCAAAACACTTGTTTGATAGTTAAACAGAAGATTTCAATCTCCGGGACTGCTAGATAAACAACATGCTTAAATTAACTGCACTTCACACCCATTAAAAATATATATTTTAAAAGACAAAATGTTTAAAAGAAAAGATTTACAGTGCCTCAAAGGGATGACTGAAACCTGCTGCTCATTTAAAATCTGTCTTTTTTTTTTTTTGGCAGGGATCGTGAAATCCAGTTGTATGAGATGTCCAACTTCGAACCATACTGCCAGATCAGTGGTTTGGAAGTGATCCCTTTAAAACTGGACTACTGGTAAGCAACGTTCTATGTTCATGTTGTCAGTCCCAGGTCAACAGAGGGACCTAGACAAATTAGAGGATTGGGCGAAAAGAAATCTGATGAGGTTCAGCAAGGACAAGTACAGAGTCCTGCACTGCTACTGACTAGGGACCGAGTGGCTAGGCAGTAGTTCTGCAGAAAAGGACCTAGGGGTTACATTGGATGAGAAGCTGGATTTGAGTCAGTGTGCCCTTGTTGCCAAGAAGGCTAACGGCATTTTGGGCTGTATAAGTAGGAGCATTGCCAGCAGATCGAGGGATGTGATCTTCCCCTCTGTTCGGCATTGATGAGGCCTCATCTGGAGTACTGTGTCTAGTTTTGGGCCCCACACTACAAGAAGGATGTGGATGCGTGTGGGTGTGTGTGTGAGAGAGAGAGACCGAGAGAGACATGCATTGCCCCTTTAAGTATGCTGACGCCACTCTAAGTACATTGCCTTTTTAAGTAGATCAGCAAGGAGACACCCTGACATTAGCACCCCTCTTCCCCGCCCCTCTGCACAGCAAGCAGGAGGCTTCCGGGAGCAGCTCCAAGGCAGAGGGCAGGAGCAGCACACAGCAGTGGGGGTGGGGGAGGAGGGACAGCTGAACTGCCCGGCAATTGATAGCCTGCTGGGCAGCTGCTGCACAGGGAACTTAGGGGAGCAGATGGGGGGCTGCCGGTCCACCCTGATTCCAACCCCCCCCCCAGCTCGCTCCAATGGGCTGCTCTTTCTGCAACCAGTGGACAAAGCAGGCGGCTGCCAAACAACATTATAAGGGAGCATTACACAACTTTAAACGAGCATGTTCTCTAGTTGATCAGCAACATAACAATGAAATAACGTTAACCGGGATGACATTAAGTGAGGAGTTACTGTAACTAACACCTGTGATGTGTGGTTTGTTCTCTCTCTGTATTCATGGCAGAGAAACGAAGCCAAAGATGTGTACCTTTCACTTGCAGCAGAAGGTAGTGAGGTTTGTGGTGTCCCTCAGTTCCTTCGGGAATTCACTGTGCAGTGTTGGATCAGCCTCTAATAAGTTCTTGTCTCTTGCACAGATGAGCTTCACCTTTGTGATAGAAAGTTCCATTATGCCTGAGGAGCAGAATTATTGACCATGGGTCTTCATCCCAGAGTTTTATGTGATTTCTAGGCCATTGGGTTATCAGGAATCTCTGTTGCACGTGTATTGCTTGCTGATTTGATGATGTTAGTTGTGGTTTCACACTTAACCGGGTAGGCTGCATGAATGTCGTCATATTCCAACCTGTTATCAGCAATATGTAAGATAAATAGCCCTCTCTCTCCATTAACATTTACTTGTCCCGTCCACAACACTGCTGGGGACCAAATTCATCCCCGGTATAAGTAGATATACAGTGGAGTCGCATCATAGGCGCATTTAACTTACGCGATTTTAACTATACACACTCGGCAAAAAAAAAAGAGAGAAAAATAACAAATACTGTACCTGTAGTGCGGGCGATTCCGCCCACCATTCCACTCAATGAGCATTTGACTATACGCGATTTTCACCTTACACGCTGACTTCAGAACCTAACGCCCGCGTAATATGCAACTCCCCTGTCCCATTGAGTTAAGTAGAACATTTATCCTTATACCAGGCCTGAATTTAATCTCCACAGAATGCCACACCTGTGCACAGAGGTGGATTAGGGGTTTGTGGGGCCCTGGGCCAGAGCGAGGGAGGGGGAGGAGTGCCAGGAGGGTGGGAGCAGATCGGGGTGCCCACTTTTCTGGGGCCCCCCAATTGGCTGGGGCACCTGGGCATGGGCCCTGTTGGCCCAATGGCTAATCTGCCACTGCCTGTGAACATGGCATTTGTTTTGTCTAACGTATGACAAAACAAAACTCAATACTATTTTTATTTCTTTTAAACTGAAGTGTTCTGACTAGCTTGCACTTATCCTTTTTTCCATCTTTTTTAGTTGCACGGATCCTGACGAGTGCATGATTCTGTATGGTGATGACCAGGTAGATTTGTTTTTGTTTTTGTTTTTAAAACAACAACAACAAAACAGTGTTTGATATAAGTAGGGCCCTTCATTTTCAGTTTTTATTTTTTTTAATTTTTCCAGGGAATTATCAGTGTTTATTACTACAACAACAAAAACAGGTGAATATTGGTGGAAAAAACTATTAATAATTTTTCTGGGTAAATATTGTGGTTTATTTTGGTGGACAGAAGGATGTGGGGAAAAAGTATTCAATAGATTAATGCTTTGATGAATGGAATTCAATCTGGTTTGCTGCAGAACAAAAATAGTATATCTCTACTCCCCAAATAAAACTTTTCATTTGAATAAACAGTTTACTGTTGTAGACTTAGACACATCAGCCTATAAATATTTACATTTAATAATTGGGCCACACCATTTGCAATGCATACACTCAACTTCATCATTTTCTCCTGTTTTTGTTTTTTTAAAACTTTTGAATATTTCCTTGTGTTCTGAAACATATTCTGATACAGATTTTCATTTTCTTCCCATTTTACTGTGTCAGATCTTTAAACCATTATCTGCTAACAGATTGAAATGTATACGTGATGGGCTTGAGATTCATCAGTACGTTCAGATTCGCACGCATTTCTGAGCTTGCACGTGTGCCTGTTTTCTTTATTGTTTTATCTTCTAGATTAATGCATAACCTTATTCAACAGGCAGCTTTGCATATACACACAGATTAATGTATTATAATTACATAATACATGTATCTCATGCAATGTATTGTATTTTCCTAATAAAACAAGTGTGTGTGTATGTATGTATGTGTGTATATATATATACACACACACACATATATATATATATGAATGATACAAAAATAGAGTGAAAATCGAAAAAAAAGAATAATACTTTTTGTAAAACCCGGGATTTTTTCAGTAAAAATTGGTTTAAACTGAAAACGAAGGGGCTTAGATATAAGCCATGAACTCAGGGGCCATCCCTTAGACCTTTGGGTAATCAAGGGAGCTGTCCTAGCAGTATCTCCTGGCCAGTCTCCTTGATTATTCAATGGATGGTATGTGTCAGGTACACCTTTTATACAGTAGGTTGCAGGACTGCCACTTGTAGGTCAGGCTTCTGTACCAGATATGGACTGGCTACAGAGCTTCCTTCCCAGAGAGAAATTCCAGATGTGTTCACTGTAAGATCCTTTAAAGCACTTCCTGGCTCTAGCTGTGACCAGCTCAGATAAAGTATGTTACACATTGCACCCCCTTGTGGCTGAAGAGTATAATACAGTTTTACATTCTATTGCGGGGTACTGTAATAGAGAGACAAGGTGGGTGAGATATTATCGTTTTATTGGACCAAGTTCTGTTGGTGAGAAAGACAAGATTTAAAGCTTACTCAGAGCTCTTCTTCAGGTCTGTGAAACTAATTCAGGTCTGGTCTATATTACAGACCTATATCGGTATAACTACGTCACTCAGGGGTGTGAAAAATCCGCACCCCTGAGCGACATAGTTATGCCAGCCTGACCCCTCCATGTAAACAGTGCTATGTCGGTGGGAGAGCTTCTCCTGTCAACTTAGCTACCACCTCTCAGGGAGGTGGATTAACTACAGTGATGGGAGAGCTCTCTCCCGTTGGCATATAGTGTCGTCATTAAAGCAGGCAGAGTTTTAAATATAGACTTGCCCTCAGAGTGTCACAGCTAAAGACAATGGATTGTTTAGCATAAGTAGTGAACACATCTTTCAAGGGACCATTCAAGATGAAGTGGCCTGTTAACACCTCTCCAGTCATAGGGAGGAAAGAAAGGGGGAGGGAATAACTTGGGGGTGAGCAGGGCCGGCTCTGGCTTTTTTGCCGCCCCAGGCAAAAAAGCCG